ATTAACACAGTCAAATGCTTTGGAAAAATCAAACAGAGTTAGAATCGTTCCCTGTCGACGCTCCATAGCAAGTCTAATGTCTTCAGTCACTCGAAGGAGTGCTGTTTCTGTACTGTGCGCTGATCTGAAACCAGATTGATAGTCAGATAGAATGTTATTTTCAGTGATGAATTCAGTGATTTGACAGTGAACGATCCTTTCTAGGCCTTTAGATAGAGCGGGCAAAATACTTATCGGCCTGAAATCCCCAACCAGAGTTGGTGCTGAGATCTTTTTTAGGGGACGGACAATGGCAGACTTCCAAAATGAAGGGAAAGAACAGTGCCTCAAAGATGCATTAAAAATGAACGTGATAGTAGGAAGGATTGCGTAGAGGATGTCTTTGATAAAGCGGATAGGTATCCCATCAGAACCGACAGCATTGCTTCGGATTCTGCGAATGGCCATCAAAACATCAGACTGAATAACTGGTTTGAAATTAAACTCGGGATATCCCAGGTGCGGGGTTGGAGAGTTGACTAATTCATTCAAGTAACTATTGACTTTGTGCTGATTGGTATTTTGACTGCTAGAAGAAAAGTAAACATTTAACTCATTTAGAGGGATGTGTACCGGTTGAGAATCAAATTGTTTCCCAAGCCCAAGACTTTTCACTTTACGCCATAAAACTCTCGATGGCTGTTTTTGATTTTCAAAAAGTGAATGAATGTATCTGAGTTTGGAATTTTGCAAAAGCTGTTTAACTCGATTACGAAGATTACAATATTGTTGTTTTATTTCGATATTGTTGGAGTGCCTAGCTCTTCTACCTAAGCTATCACGTTTAGCCATCAAACCTTTGATTTCAGGGGTCATCCATGGAACAGGCCTTCTTTTTGTCACGCGCTTTGTTAGGATGGGAGCATGTTTGTCAAAGAGATTTAATATGGAAGAATTTAGCTCATGAATCATTTCATCGACGGAATTTAAATTTTGAATGAAGTGCCACGGAGTTTGTTGAACGTCTAACATGAATTGTGCAACATTCATATTTTTAAGATCCCGATATTTAATTGAGCGGAGCGAGCGAAGCGAGCGAAGCTCTTATACGTCGACTTTTATGCATTTCGTAATACGCAAACTCCTCCTAGACGGCTGAATCAATCGTTTTCAAATTTTGCATGGTGATAAAGACCATATCGGTGAGTGCCAACATCTATATGGCGTTAAAAAAGTCTCTCAGGAATCCGTAGAAAAATGAAACTGAAAATCACATTTTCTTAACATTAGTCTTATGGGTTGCTAGGTAACCATGTTGGCTGAATTAAATAACAAGTAAAAAGTAAACAAAAGATTTGAAGTTTTAGCATGTGTTCATAATAAGCCAACTACCCACAGTATACTAGGAAATTACAAATACAGTACAAAAGGAAAAACATCACTTGTTAATATTGAGCAAAGATTATACTTAAGATTACTCGATACATTGTAGTCAAGGGTAGCAGTGCGAAGTCTAGGATCTGTTTATGACGAATACATTAAGGTATCTGCAATCCTAAAATGCTATGGGAAGGGAAGGAAACAGGTCCGTGACGTAGGAAGTAGTGAAGGAAGTAGTAAAGGCAATCATAAAATGCTATGGGAATAGAGGGAAACAGGTCCGTGACGTAGGAAGTGATATGAAGGAAGTAGTAAATGCGAGCAGTCCGGAGTGTGGGGACTGTTTATGACGATAAGATTAGGGTATCTGCAATCCTAAAATGCTATGGGAAGGGAGGAAAACAGGTCCGCGACGTAGGAAGTGGTGAAGGAAGTAGTCAAGGCGAGTAGTCCGGAGTGCGGGAACTGTTTATGACGATTAGATTAAGGTATCTGCAATCTTTAAGTGCAATGGGAAGGGAGGGAAACAGGTCCGCGACGTAGGAAGTGGTGAAGGAAGTAGTCAAGGCGAGCTGTCCGGAGTGTTGGAACTATTATGACGATTAGATAAGGGTATGGGCAATCAAAAATGCTACGGGAAAGGGAGGGAAACAGGCCCGTGACGTAGGAAGTGGTGAAGGAAGTAGTCAAAGCGAGCTGTCCGGAGTGTGGGAACTGTTTATGACGATAAGATAAGGGTATGGGCAATCCTAAAATGCTATGGGAAGGGAGGGAAAGAGGTCCGCGACGTAAGAAGTGGTGAAGGAAGTAGTCAAGGCGAGCTGTCAGGAGTGAGGGAACTGTTTATGGCGATTAGATAAGGGTATGGGCAATCCTAAAATGCTATGGGAAGGGAGGGAAACAGGTCCGTGACGTAAGAAGTGGTGAAGGAAGTAGTCAAGGCGAGCTGTCTGGAGCGTGGGAACTGTTTATGATGATTAGATTAAGGTATTTGCAATCCTAAAATGCTATGGAAAGGGAGGAAAATAGGTCCGCGACATAGGAAGGGGTGAAGGAAGTAGTCTAGGCGAGTTGTCCGGAGTGTTGGAAATGTTTATGACAATTAGATTAAGGTATCAGCAAACCTAAAATGCTACGGGAAGGGAGGAAAACAGGTCCGCGACGTAGGAGGTGATGAAGGAAGTAGTCAAGGTGAGCTGTCCGGAGTGTGGGAACTGTTTATGACGATTAGATTAAGGTATTTGCAATCCTAAAATGCTATGGGAAGGGAGGAAAACAGGTCCTCGACGTAGGAAGTGGTGAAGGAAGTAGTCAAGGCGAGTAGTCCGGAGTGCGGGAACTGTTTATGACGATTAGATTAAGGTATCTGCAATCTTTAAGTGCAATGGGAAGGGAGGGAAACAGGTCCGCGACGTAGGAAGTGGTGAAGGAAGTAGTCAAGGCGAGCTGTCCGGAGTGTTGGAACTATTATGACGATTAGATAAGGGTATGGGCAATCAAAAATGCTATGGGAAAGGGAGGGAAACAGGCCCGTGACGTAGGAAGTGGTGAAGGAAGTAGTCAAAGCGAGCTGTCCGGAGTGTGGGAACTGTTTATGACGATAAGATAAGGGTATCTGCAATCCTAAAATGCTATGGGAAGGGAGGAAAACAGGTCCGCGATGTGGGAAGTGGCGAAGGAAGTAGTAAAGGCGAGCTGTTCGGAGTGTGGGATCTGTTTATGACGATTAGATTCAGGTATCTGCAATCTTAAAATGCTATGGGAAGAGAGGGAAACAGGTCCGCGACGTAGGAAGAGGTGAAGGAAGTAGTAAGGTGAGCAGTGTGGAGTGTGGGAACTGGAAACCGTTTGTAGCAGTTTTAATGTATTTGCAATGCTGAAATGCTATGAGAAGGGATGGAAGCATGCCCAAGACATAGGAAATTGTGAAAGAAGTAGTAAAGTCTAGCAGTACGGACAGTGGGGATGTTTGTTGCAATTAGATTAACGTATCTAAAATACTAAAATGCTATGGAAAGCGATGAATACAGGTCCACGACGTAAGTGGTGAAGGAAGTAGTAAAGGCTGGCAGTGCAGAGTGGGGGAACCGTTTGAGCAGATGGATAAGTGAATTTGTAATACTTAAATGCTATGAGAAAGGAAGGAAACAGGCCAATGACGTAGTAAATGGTGAAGGAAGTAGTAAGGCTAACAGCGCAGAGTGTGGGAACTGTCTTTGGCAATTACATTAATGTATCTGCAATCCTAAAATGCTATGGGAAGAGAGGGAAACAGGTCCACGACGTAGGGTGTGGTGAAGGAAGTAGTAAATGTGAGCAGTGTTGAGTTTGGGAATGGATTAATGTATCTGCAATGCTAAAATGCTACGGGAAGAGACTGTAGACTGTAATATGTTAAAAATGATTACGAAGCACAAATCGATACATATTTTCGATACATGCAATCGTTTACAATCGAAATTTACAACAGAGTTGACAACAGCTGATTTTTACTCCATATAGGCTAAAAACGATTTTTACTCCCTAAATATTAAAAATGCTACTTTAGACCCGCAGCGCATGCATGAAAAAATACTGTTTTTACTGCAGTAAGACAAAAACAATATAATATGAACCCTTGATGACTCCGCTCAATTTTGTGGATGCCTCTGCGAACGCCACCTAGTAAGCTTTGCTTTGGGCTTAGGAGATTTGATTGAGTACACACAGAAAATAAGGTCATGTTTGGATATTGAAGGGACTGGAAGCTGCCCATGGTGAATGATATCTTGATGATTGGACACTACGATTAGATCCAAGAGGGTATCAGAATTGGCAACATGATGTGTGGGATCGAGTGGAAGTACAGTTAGGTTATATGATTCAAACAAAGTAGTCAGCTGTCTGTGTTCAAAGTTATGAGTCGACGATAGTAAGTCAGTGTTGAAATCACCCATGATCAAAACATGACTGTATCTGAACATTTCATTAAGCAAGGCATTTTCAAAATTGAGCAGATGCCCTGAATGGAATGGAAGCAGATGCCAATTGAACAATGTCCAATTACACTGTATGATTGATTCATACAAATTTGCCTAAATATTTGTACGCACCGCGATTTGTGCTGACGCACTGAATGTAATGAAATATGTAATAAATGTTATGTAATGAACTTGGTTTTATGGAGCTGAAATATAAGACTGCACATGGAGTAAAACACTGTTTATTGAAAAGTGATGATAATGCTACTGTATAAATGAAAATGAATAAATGACAACTTGAAACGTGTAATGTAAACTTGATTGTGATATGATAAATGAATGAAATTGAAATACTTGAAAATGACATCCAACACGACCGAATGTTGGTGCCTTATTGACCTGTGTCACTCACACCTCCGAAGCCTAGGGGCGGGGAAGACACTTGCCGTTTTGGCGCGAACAATATTAATTCAATAGGTAACGTAAAAATTACTATATCTAACAACACAATTGCCTTAACAATGGGACAGTTTGATTGAATCCTAATATCATTCTAAGTGACACGCAATAAAAGGAAAGGTCATTATTTCCATTTCGACAACTATCAATGACAGGTGAACAACAATAGACTTCAACAAAAATAAATAACAATAGGGTTTTATCTTTTCAACTATGTTTCAGTGCTTATTTAGAAGAGCTAAAAGCTGATCCATTTTCAAGAATGAAAATTCCAAAATACCAGAAGATTTTAAAGGAATGGACAAACAAGGAAGGGTTTTGTCTAGATAAAACTAATAAGCAGATGGAGGCAAGGGCTCGCAAGGTTGTTGCAAAAACATTTCATAATGCAGGAATTGTTGTCCCTGTTGACAAGAAAAATGATGTCGGTTACAGGGAACTGGCTGCTTCAAACGGTAGGCCATATTTCTTAAGTTTAATTTACAGCTTATCTAAGTATTCATAAAATTTTCAATGATACATGCTAATGACATTCATTATATTAATTAATTTTAGTCAGATATTTTCCCACTAGTACAGACATAGGTTAATAGTTTAGTAATTTGCTTTCTTTGAGTGTATGATAAAGAATACCATAAGCCTATCTAAATAATTTCTCAGAAAATTAATAAAAAATCACCTACTAACCACCCCCTCATAAAAAAACCATTATCACACTAAATAATAGCCTAAAAATACTTAGCAGCAAACCTATAGTAAATTAGTCCTTAGTTGCAATAACACATAAAAAATAACGATGTAGTATTAACATTATTTAAAAAGCCATCTTTATTCCAACAACTTTCTATATTGAAGCATTATGGTACAATTAAAGGTTACAGAGAAAATTACAAAAGAAACTATATATATTTAAAAATTTACATGTTATTCTTATGGAGAACAATAAAACTGTTGTAGTTTGCTTGTCTATAGATAGTATTTTACACTCAACGTCGCAATTGTACCTCAGGGATCCATTCTTGGCCCTTGTCTTTTTATGTGAATGATCTTTGCAAGGCCACAAACTCACCCATCTATCAATATGCTGAGGATATTACCATAATTTTAAAAGGAACCAAGAACGATAATAAGGCTTCTGCTGCCAAAGAGCTACAAAGCGTAAAGCAGCCCACACACTACGCGTGCATGGCTCTGACACGTTGTGTGTTGTTGTCCACACACTGAATCTCAGTGTAGTCTGCAACGTGTCAAATAACATAACAATTAGAATGAGAATATTTATTTTCTCCCAGTAATACAAATATTAGCGGTTTTGACCAATAACTAAGCTTATCTCAACACACCTGTTTTTGCTTTCTCATATTTGACGAAGATATGTTGTACTGGGATCCATCCTGACACATGGATAATTTGATTCTGAGTTTGTTTAAAGATCACAATAATTTGTTTTACATTTGAGCTTTTTAGGGACTTATGTCATTAGTATTACTAAAATTACAAGATAATGCACAATACAATACATGATAAAGAAATTGATATAATATTCTTTTAAACTAAATGTGCCACATGTCAGACTGACCAAGAGGAAAAAACACTGGCTTAGTCACAACAATATTAACATAATAAAGAAACCTAAAAATTATACCTAGATGATTTAAATTTTTTTTGTGCAAGTTATTGGGAGAAAAAGCCTGTTTGGGGATTCCTTCATTATAAAATAACCAAAAAAATAAAAGAAAGACAGCGATCAGACAAAATAACCAGGATTGTAAATTTAAAAATTGAGATCTCTATAGCGCATAGCATGCAATGCTTAGTCCCTGAGTGGCAGAGCTTGCACATATTGCACATCTGCTGTTTGTACAAATTGAATGCAGAACACACACATATGGCATATGTTCTAAGTACTTACTTCATTAATAATGAAAAAAAAAATAGACAGCAGTGAACCTTCTTAGGTTAGTCCAAACCTTGCACCTCTGCCGTACAGACTACAGATATATGCCAGCAGGGCACTTGGTTCACAGAATTGTTGTAAATTACGATAAATAATTAAAAATATACCAAGAACAATAATAGAATATTTTATTTTACTTTAATGCCAGTAGATACACAATGTTTTTGTTGGTTTTTTCATTAGGTGTATAAACATATAAGTTTTAGGTGTACCATAATGTGAGCACGCAATGTACAGCTGTCCGTGTGAAAAGCATGCACTTTCTAAATTTAAACCAGCGATAGTCAGGGATGCCCTTAACCCCCTCCTTTGTGTAGTGGATGCCTTTCCTCAGGGATGCCTTTGTGTAGTGTTTTGTGTCGCTGCAGTGACTCACAAACACTGTTTACGGCGACGGCTCTATGACTGACAAAATCGGATTGAACTGGATCGAGTTAGGTATCGTTCTTTTCGTTAGATTCTAAGCTTTCTCCAGAGGTCTGTCTCTAAGCGCTTTATGTTCTCCGAGCCGATCGTAATTGTAGCAGACAGCTGACGTGCGTATTTGTAAACAGCTAGGTTACCCTCGGACCGATGACTGATGTGTTTTATTACGTTTATCATTGTTTTAGTGTTAAAAATCAAAAGTAGTGATATACGTGGTGCATTATAAGAAGATTTAAGTGATTTTGAAGGGCTGGTTGATGATCCTGAAGAAGTAGATAGTGACATTGATGTAAATTATCAGCCAGATTCCTAGCTATGGTTAGGCTATGCATTCTTAGCTAAACGCTATGTACTGAAATCTGTTTTTTGCCCATAACTTATTTATTTGCAAATCTACTTCCTTATATTATTATATATTTGTAATCCTCATAAAATTTAGAACAAAGTGGCTATTTTCAAATATTTATAGGTCTACAATTTATACAATTTCATTGAGCGGGAACTTTTTACCTAAAAATTTGTTTTAAACAAATGTTCCTTATGTTCTATGTATAATATTGAAGCCCATGATTTTCCAAACAAAATGGTATATAGAACAGTATAATTAACATTGTTTTCAAGCTTCTCAGATCCGTTTTAATAAAACCTTGCAAATGAGCAAAAAATAGGCAGACATTAAGGCCAAAAACAAGGACACTCGGAGGGTTAAGCCTTATTAATGATGATTGTGAAAGCAAGACACAAAGGAAGTTGTAGTAGCTTGAATTCAAAGGGTAATTTGGAATTAGTATTCTGGTGATGAAGACTATTTTTCCTTTGAACTTACCACTGATGCTTCGATCAAGTTTTGTGTAATTTTTTTAATCGTCAGTCTGGTTCCGTTGCACAGCTTGTGTGTATTATTCAAAACTACAAAACAGATGGTGAAAGTAAACATCTGCTTTTTAAATTATATTTATTTGCAAACATTTTAGATCCAAATGTCTAACATCGGACCCCTCAAAAACCTCTGGGGCGGAGTCATTTTGACGGATCTGCACCAAACTTTACACAAACCATCCTTGAATAATGCTTAATAATACCTGAAATTTCATTACGATCTGTCGAGCGGTTTCAGAGTCTATAGGCAACATACATATATACATACATACATACTTCCTCTTTTATAGATTTAGATTTCAAAACAATGTTTCTTTATGATTGGCTATTCATTATTTGAAATAACTCCTATAATACTTTGCAATTGCTTGAACTTAATCCAAGACATTTAGATTTAAGTACATTTGACTATTCACCTTTCAAATTAATGTAATTTGATGTTATAAGTTAATAAATAATTAAACTGGCTATATAGTCACTAGTTGTTCTGCCTGTGTCTCGCCACGGGGAAAGAAAGAATAGAAGATTTGTTGATTCTTCACTGCCTCGTCCAGTGCAAACTGCTGAATGATTTAGCACTTGTTCTTGATGTGAATTACTTTGATCAATGTCCATGTCATAAGAAAAAATATTCTACAAATGTGTTTTTTTCCCAGTCAGAACACATAAGGCTCCCCCTAAACTCTATGGTTCTTGTACCACTTAATTAGATACATAACATTTGTCTGCAACATCAGTTGCTGTGTTTTTAAATGATATAAAACTGAAATAATAAGTGAACAATTGAAACAGAATTCAAAGGTTTGAACACTATCGCACATTCACATTGTAAGAAAAGCATACTGTAACTTCTCTTGATGCAATATAGTAATCTATGGTATAATCAAAAGGTTAACTCCAGAAAAAGTAAACAAACAAACTTAAACAAAAACAAATCTAATGGCTGATGCATCTTATTATTTTAAATGTTCATAAATAAGTTTTCCCCTTTAATTGAGGTTGCTGCCCTTAGGAGAGGGTTTATAGAAAAACCGATATTTTTCTAGGAAGTTTCACATCAAGACCTTTCATTTAAGCATGCGGTTGATTGATGTGGGGCAAGCTTACGGTTTTCTCAAAATTTCAAATATTTGATAGCTTTTATAGATTATTTAAATCTTCACATTAATTTTCTTAGCTAGGCTAAGAATTAACTCTTAATAATAGAATATATAACTATTGAACATTTTTGTGCATTTTCATAGTCACAATTAAGAAGATCTTGAAAGGTATTGTGGAGAGCAAAAGTGAAGAGGAGAGGACAAAATATTGGGAACAGCTCCAACCAGTAATGACTTTTGCCAACATTGCTAATGACGAGTGTGACTTCGGTACTTGCTTAGAACTGGGACTGGACCTCTTCAGCTACGGCAATGAACTGCTTCACCGCAGCATTCTGCAGCTGCTGCCCACTACGTACAACCTGCTGCAGAGGCCACAGTTTGCTGCTATCATACAGGTATGTTTCATATCTTTACAGTGCATGTAAGTTACTATAGAAATATGTCTGTAATCAGAAATGTAATTAAATAATCAATTTCAAACAAGATTGTGTTTATTCTAAAAAAATCATAACATAACATGATCAACAACTAGAGATCGGCTGGTTATAGCAATACCAACTTCTCCCTCTTTAACTTTTTAATGAACGAATAAATCTTCTATTGTAAAAGTACAGACTTGTAAAACTTGGGTATGCACCGATAGTGTAACGCATTTTGACTATTGATTATTGTTGGAGGCATCTTGGAGATGACAAAAACCCATGTTGTCACCCTCACATCAGGGGCACAACTTGAGGGGAGGGGGGAAAGTAGCGCGGAGGCGGGTTCTAAAACGTTGCTCATATCTCGTGAACTAGACACGATAGAAACGGGCTTTCAACAGCATTGTATTAACCTTCTAGAGGTCGCATCATGGAAGAAGAGGCTGGAAGTAGCTTCCGTGTGCTCTCTGTTTAAGTACATGTTACCTTTGCCTCATTTATACCTCCCGTAAGTCAGATAATAAAAAATATAACCCTCAGATTTATTTATAGGTTTTTTCTTTTTACACTTTTTCAAATATTGTAGTTGTTTGAAAGTTTTTCGTAAGACTGCAATAAAAATGGCTGTCTTCATCCTGCAATGGTGTACTTGAGTACTTGTGTTGCGCGGCTAAAGAAGTTTTTTCTCCCTTAGTAATAAATGAATCAGCTGAAGTAGGGGATATCAGCTGTACATTTTCTATAGCTATAAAGCCTGGTTTACACGGGTCGAGTACGGCGGGCGAGTCAGTGTGCGAGTTGCCACTCGCTCATTAACTCGCTTGGTGTAGACATGCAGCCGAGTCGAGTAACGGGCGAGTTGATAAAAAGAGGTCAGTTGAGAGCGAGTCGAGTGATTTAGTTGAAAACCGAGTTGCTCGGCCCAGTAGCTACCCCCACCACCACGATTTGCCCGCAAAACATCTGTTTACTGCTATCAAGTGAGTCCAGCGACCACAGAATAAAAATATTTTTTTAATTTTGTGGTCGCTGACAATGAATCGATCGCAACGATCAGTATTTTTGGGGTTAGTTCATTAGTGTATGCCTAATCACCCTCAATACTCAATGGTTCAGTTGAACAGTTGGCCCTGTGTTGCATTGTCTTGCTGTTCGTAATTCTACTCTCTCTTATAAAATTCAGTTTTCAAAATTGTTGAACAACTTAAGATCTACAGTTCTACTGGAACGATTTTATTAATCAGTGGGTTGTAAGAAAGCTTACTCCCTAAAAATGTTTTCTATCAGAAATACGTTGATAACGGTGTTTTCACATTTTTTTATTTGGAGGCAACTTTCGGTTGCCATTATATTTTATTTTAAAGAAATGCAGAACCGGTATAGTAATTTGTAACAAATCTTATTCTTTTAGAATATCACCTTCCACTTTGGTCTATCGTATTTGCAAAAACAAAACTTTTAATCAACCCCTGAATTTAATGGATGATTCAGTTTTAATTCTAATAATCTAATTCAGTGATTTAATTAATTTATAAATTCAGCATTAAACTCTTGAAACTCAAACAACATTTAACATGAAAGCTATGGTATACGGAATACCCTACACCACAGAGAAATTATAAAAATTACTTCTCTGTGCCTACACTGTCGCTGTTCGAAATAGGAATGCGTGTAGACAGTCTAGTCAAGTACTGGGCGAGTTGAACAAATCAACAACTGGGCCTAGTAACTGGGCCGAATAACTCGTCTGACATACTCGATCCGTGTAAACCAGGCTTAAGAGCCTTCCGCTGGTTTTGCTGAAAAAAAAGAAAAACCTCATTAACAAATATATCTTTTTATTATTATTATCTCCTTCTCCGTCTTGTTATATTTTGCTACACAATAAAATACAAATTACGTAATAATGCGATTATATACATTTTGGCATTCAATTTTCAGGCTGTTATCTCAGTTCCTTTAGAGTCGGTCAATATTTCCCCTCAAAATAATTTGACGAGATTATGTCATTTTGTCTGTCTGGATTTTAGTAAAGAATCGAGTAAGTAAATAGGTATCATGTACCGGTATGTAATTTGCTTCTTTATGTTATAGGCTCACCTTGAAGACAGGAGGAAAGGAAACAAATTGAGCATTCTCTAGTATCAGCAGTTTAAAATATTCTTATTTAAAGTGTTCCACAAATATGAATAATTTATCAGTATTTTCTTCTGCACAAGTAAATGTACGGATTATAATTTGGTCGTGTATTATTTAACTTATTTAAAAAAAAATTAGATCTAAGTTCTGTTTTCAATTTTGTAATAAAGAAATAAAAACTTGCACATTTTATGATCTACTACTACCTGAACCATATTCCACATCTGAGTAACAATTTGAATAAAGGCAGTAGATCTCAATATGTAATCCAAAAATTTACACAATGCTCTAAATTTTGCAAATTGAGTTTTTTTACATTTCCTTGTAAAAATGAACTAGGCCTATTACATTATAAAACGCTTACAACTTGGAAGTTATTTGGCAATTTAAAAAATTCTGATTTTAGAAATGGGAATGTTGCACAACGTCCAACATAAAATATATGACTGTTGCTCGAGCTTTGGACGTCATGGGATTGGTCATCGTGCAACAGTGCACTTTATACTTTTTTAAAACTTAGTAGTATCACGACCAAAGCCACTGTTAAGCCAGTTGTACAACGTCCAATTGCTCAGTGATGTTTACGACGTCTATAGCTGGTGCATACGGAGCAAGGTTCGATTATGTTAGTCTGCAATAAAGACAGTAAGAGATTTGTATGTCAAGCAACAGTCATTTATTTAATATGGGATATTGTGACACTGACTTAAAATTTGACGTAGTGCAATCCGTCCTTAAAAATTATGAATAGTTTATCCTCTTCTACATTATTTTATTTATGTGTTTGAGAAGTCTTGGAGATTAAGAGACCACTTAACTTTGTTCAAGGAATTTTAGGATCAAGTGTGAGTTTAGGTCGAGTTAAAAATTTTTAAATTCCAATACCATCAGGACACTCAAATATAACCACACATGAAACAGTTATTGGAAAACGATTTAGATTTTACAATAGGGCGAAGTGTAGACTACTCCCTATTAGTTCATAGTTGCAGTATTCAATGTAAGTTATAGATGAAAAGATAAGTAGCAGCTATCTCTGGGTAAACCAACAGGATGTGTGGTAGTATTCTAAAAGTGTGAAAAAAATGATAATAAAGCGAATGGGATGAACATAAATTATATTAAATATGTAAACATGTCCATTAAATTCTTTGTTTGAAAGAATAAAAATAAAGATTTTAATGCCTAATCCAAACATATATTACATAAGTAGTTTGAACTGCAAATAAAAAGCTATCAAAAGTAATTTTAATCATCTTGTAAGCATTCTAACTTTTGCACTGTTTAACCCTTTCAGTGCTATGAAACGATATATCGTTGTTTTAAAAAATCTCTAAGGGATATAGAGAGGAAGGTTATTTAAAAAAAAAATAGCAAAACGGCCATTGGTGACCTGCATGTTCACAGGATACACTAACAACCACTTAGCTAAAAGATTCGCCCAATCCGATGATTTCGAGGTGTATGTCTAAACCAAGGATTATGAACAACTCACTATGCCCCAGTGGTTGTAGTATATCGCTACAAACACACAGGTCACCAATTATTTGCCACACAGGACGGGATTCGAACCCGAGCAGACGAATGCCACTGGCCAAGTGACACACGCCCTAGCCTTCTCGGCTATCTGTGCTTGAAGACTGAGGAGTCAAAAACCGGTATTTAAGCTGTCGCCACCGATTGCGAACAGATAGCGCTACAGATGGTTGTTCAATGCGTTACTAGGTAGCAACACCAGTTAGTCACGGACTATTTAGATGAAATGTTTTAGTTTAAACACAACAGTGATCATAAATGTGTTCCTGAGACTTTGCTGCAAAACATTAGTTTCCCTAAAATGGCTATATTACGATAACCTCGTCCAACTAAATCAAGGTTAAATTCAATATTACATTGTAAACTATATGTCTTTTGATTTTATGAGATTTTGGTTTCAAATAATGCTATCAGTACATAAAAATTTCAGGGCTGTGCGAATCCAGAAATTTTGGTTCGAATCCGAATCATAGCTGTACAGATTTTATCGAATCCGGATCGAATCCGAATATTTTAATTAATCCCGAGTCGAATCTGGGTCGAATCCGAATCTCAAATTTACAGCCATTATCGAACCTGGATCGAATCCGAATCTGAAATTTAAAGCTGTTATCGAATCCGAATATTTAAACCTGTTCAGAGTCGAATCCAAATCCGAGCAAAGTCAGCAGTACCAATTTTCACATTTTTAGACCACATTTTCTGGAGCTGAAATAACTTAGGGAATTGCTTAAAAAAATTCTTGAAATGGGCCAAATAAAAAAGTTATAAAATTTAGGCCTACCTATTTGAAGTTTTGAAACTAAAAAATTGGGCATAAGTTAGGCATAGGCCTAAGTTACTCGCTATAAGTGATGGACTACCAATTTGTGTAGTCTAAAACATAGGCCCAGCCTTTTATACATCTCGGTGTTAATCCTCCACACAAGCCTATGTCTGCATTACTATTACAAGTAACAACTAACACTGTGAGGTTAAGTTTACTGATAGCCAAGATAGGGTTCAAATGCGACCTACACTAATGTGCCTAAAACCTAACACCAAGTTGGTCAGGTTCCTAACATGAACCAGTCAACAGCAAATCGGAGTGCACAAGTAGTTTTTTAGTGTCTAAAAAATTATATTGAAAATTATATTCAATCAGAATCTAGTAAATTTGAATATCGAATCCCAACTCGGATCTATTTCCAAGAAATTCGAATATCGAATCCGAACCCGGATCTCTTACCAGTAAATTCGAATATCGATTCCGAATCCGAATCCAGTTAGAAACAGTAGATTCGTTCTCGAATCCGAATCGAATCTCTAAAAAGATTCGGATTCGATTCGTTTTTCGAACTATTCGCACAGCCCTGAAAAATTTATAGAAAACCCAGGAAAATTACAACAAAAACTAAGTTTTATTTAATATTTAATACAAATACCGGGATTTATCTATCTTATATATTTTCTTATTTTGTTATTATTCAAAATTAGCCTAATTAATAAAATAGTGACAACATGACAGTTAAAATTCAACAACAGGTAATGGAATCAAAAGGCAAACAAAAAAGTCTTACAAAATATGAATTATTGGCCTAGCACTGAAAGGGTTAAATAATAAAATAGTTTACATAGGTTTAGTTTTTAAATGTTGGAGACATGTTGTAAATGTTGGCCTAGATTGATACAGGTACAGGTGGGGGGAGACCACTGAACGCCAGCTCGTGCCAGGGCGTGATCAGACTAACTACATCGATGTATGCGACAGAGCTTGGTGAGAGAGAGGTTCTTGTAAAATAAACGGTAAACAACTCAGGCGAAGTTTGGCAAGGTGGCTGAATTCTTTATGGGTCGAGCTTCAAATTTGGCATTTCACTACTTTTTGCTTATCCTAAAGTGTTTTTAATTGCCTAATACCACTGACCCTTATCAAGGTCACAAAAATATGAAAAACTGTAAATAAACCATCATGAATTTCACTTCAAATTTCTAACACTGTGGTACCAGTTAAAAGGTTGTAACTAGATAAGTTTGGTAATCAAGGTCTTGATAATAGAAAACACACTCTCAAAAGCTTAACCAGATAAGTATGTATTCTCAGTAAGTATAAAGGTTTATAACTATTTAACTATTATAACTCTGTCACAAAACTGAAAAAAATCACAACAGCACTCACACAACTAATAGAGTTTCACTGTGATTAATCAACTGAAGGACAGTACTTCACAAAAAAGGTTAGCAGCAGCTTAAGAGCGGACCAGAAGACAGTAGATGAGTAGGTAGTGATAACCGTCCAATAGGAAACAGTGTCGCTGACGTCAAGGGTAGTGAGGGTGTAGTAGGAGAGGGGAAGGTGATGAATGACCTTGCCTAAGTTGTGTGGCATGCAGTATAGTCCACTGTTGGTAATTCAAACACTCAATAACTTGAAACTTTCGATAATTCAAAAGAAAAACTCAGTCCGTAGAGAACCACTAAATATTTAAAAGTTTTACCATGCACTTAGATAAACTCGGTACGGTATTTCAAAGTCCAAGTAGAGGGCAGGCAGTAATTTGAAGTTTTGTTGGCAAAACACTTTATAATTCGAAATAAAGGAGCCCTATCCTGTTTTAACAGGAAACTATACATCCTGTTTCCAAAGTAGTTTTGGAGGTTTTGTTGTTTAGTTAGATCAGTAGTCATCGTCTGGTGATGTGTTTTGACTGATCTGGCAGTAAAGTGGCTCTCTGAAATAGAATCATTTAATGCTGAACAATCCTTTGACTATTTCTTTGATAAGTTTAGAAAAGTGTTTGACTATTAATTGTTTCCCTTAAGAAATAAAACCTGCAGGACTGTGCCTTCAGCCAAGGCAAATGCTGGCTGCAGTGTAAACAACTGGTACAATGTGTACCAGTTGTATTTTAGGAATTTAGCTGCTGGTTAAGTACAGGTGTGTACCGTACACGCCTGAACTCTGCCTTTAAGAATTTTATCCTAGGTATCAGTGACTTATGCAAGAATAACCTACAATTGTTGCCCTACCTCCGTGATCTCAGGAAGTATTATCGTTTGAAGGTAAGGGAGGCGAAGCAATTTGCTACTGCTACTGCCATTGCTACATCTTCAAATGCATGCAAGGCTGCCTGGAACTACATCAATAGGCATAACTTAAAACCCCTACTACTGTTCCTGCTAAAGACTTTTGCACTGCTGATGAGTTTAATTCATTTTTTCTTGATTCTGTTGATGAATTAATCCTCTCTAGTAAACCTGGTCCATCTGTTCCTTATGATTGCCTTAATTTTGTTCCATTTGTTCCCACTAATTTTTTATGGACACCTGTTACTGTTGATATGCTGCTTAGAGTAGCCAGTAGCTTTAAATCCACTTCTGTTGAGCTTTTAAAAATACTAGATAACCCGTTGCTCGAAATCGAGCAAAACTGAAACTTGTATTAAAAGAATAAACAAAAAACATAAACAGCAAAACCTTGATCAAAGAGTCACTCTAAAATAATTTATATGACAGATAATAGAATTTAAAAAATATTATGATGTAAAAAATATAAAAGTAATCTACAATACTGTATTTAAATTCACATTCATTCTCATGCTGCTTTGGTTATCTCTTATGTATAGTAGGCGGGTGCACTCTATGAGCACGTAGATTTAATGC